CTCAAAGGGTTAATAAATTTTTTTTCGTCATAGGATCACCTGCCTATTGTTTCTACAATGCTAAAGTACATTTTAACAAAAAAAAAATAAATCGTTTTTTTGAAAATTCTAGAGTGGTGTTACCCCTTAAAAATGTATTTTAAGATTAATGAAATTGTGAATATATACAAAATACTTAATACGTAATGGACAGTTTTTTAATAATCAACTAATAATGATAATTTTTTATTAGCAAAAAGAAAATCTTATTTTAAGATGAGTCTTAAAATCAGCGCTAGTAGTTATAATGGAAATTGCATTGCGGAAATTCAGCTAAGCTGCCTTAAAAATGTTGCCTTTCAAAATAAGACCTCTTTTCTGCTTTAAAATAAGACTTCTTTTTACAGTGTATTTATATTATGTGATTACTACTTTCAATGAAACGTCCAGTACACTTAAAGTTAATTAAACAGCTCATTTTGATATAAAATCTTCAATAAAATAAAAATAGGTACCCCGGTACCTCCTCAGTCTCATAAAGGTTAAGATGAATTTTCCATTACCCAATATCGATGACTGGTTAGAAGAACTACACGGTTCCACAATTTTCGCGACCTTCAACTTAGGAAATGGTTACTTGCAAATGCCCTTAACTGAAGAGGCTAAAGAGAAGACAGCATCCATTACGCCAGATGAAACTGGCCAATTTGAGCGTGCCATGTTTGGTCTGATGAACGCGCCTTACTATTTTGCAAAACTTATTAAAAAAATTTTCAGTCCATGCGGAAATAAGCTAGCGTTGATCTTTTCTGATGATTTTTTTATTATATGCTAAATCTTGGGATGAATTTCTAGAAAAATTGGAACAAGTTTTACAATTATTGAAAGACGCGGATTTAACCCTGAATTTTAAAAAAATGTAGATTTGGCCTTGAAAATGTAAATTATTCAGCGTTTATAATAGGTAAAGACGGGATTAGTCCAGGCGAGAGAAAAATCACCGCGATTGTTGATTATCCGACACCAAAAGATAGCCACGCAGCACGAAGATTTCACGGTATGTCGAGTTGAATGGGAAAATCATAATATTAGAAAAACAGAATAAAGATCGTACAAAAAATGAGAAAAGCGAAATCCAAGATTATGTATTGTAATGAAAAATAATGATTTTTGGAGTCGATCGCACTGTAGCAAGAATTTCTCAATATTATTATTTTCCGAAATTACGTAATTACGTTTGTAGGCATATTTCAAAATGTATTGAGTGAATTTTCGCAAAAAATAAGGTTGGAAGGCTAGAAGGTGAACTGCACCATATTCCACTTGGAAACCGTCCATTCGAAATTGTCCACGTTGACTATCTTGGTCCTTTTGTGTCTTTGAATAATAAAAACAAATATATACTAGCAAATATATACCAGACTTGGTGTTAAAATAACACGGAACAAATTTTACCCTAAATCTGGGTTAAATCTTATGGGTTTTAGCATTGGAGAAAATTACCCGCAACAAAAATAACACCAGCTTTTTTCTGTGTAATCTAACAAAATTTGTTCAATTGTTTGCAACTCGCGATGTGAAAGCATGTACAAGGATAAGAAAACTCGATATATTTCTTGACCAGTTTGGCGCACCAGTGCGTTTTGTCACTGATAGGGAAAAGGCGTTTACATCGGAAAAATTTAGAGAATTTTGTAATGAAAATTGTGTAAAACACACGCTTAACTCAAGCAGGCATCCGCAAGCCAACGGCCAAGTTGAGCGTCTGAACCAAACAATAATTCCAGCGTTGCAGTCGAATTTGCAAAATGATGAAGGACGTTCATGGGATAAAGGGTTAAAAAATTAGAGCAACATATTAATTCGTCGATTTCAAAAGCCACAGGTAAAACGCCTTACGAGATGCTTTATGGTTACTTACCGAGATTTAGAGAAGAATTATAGCGAGAATTAATTGTGTCGTCTGAATCTTATTGTATTCCCGAGCAAATTCGTTATGAAGCTATACAAAAAATTGAAATTGAGCAAAAAGCATCTAAAGAGCGTTACGATAAATCTTGTATAAAAAATGTAAAATATCAGGTAGGAGATATTGTATTTATGAAAAGTTTACCTATTTCCACAGGCGAATCAACGAAATTGCAAACGCGCTATAAAGGTCCTCTTTTTATGACTGAAATTTTACCTTCGGACACTTATAGAGAGCAAGATTTAGGAAAAAAAGATTCATCAAAACTTGATACTACGGCTCATGTGAGTCAACTTAAAATTTGGCGCGAATTAAATGAGGAGATAGAATCGGATATTGATACCGACGAATAAGAATCCTCTGAACCTGAAGAATCCGAAATTATAACAAAAACGAAACTAGCAAAATCTGATGTAACAGAAAATGCACCACAAAATATTGACCCTAATTCATTGAGAAGAAGTAAGCGAATTCAAAATCAATCAAAAAAATAATGAATGTTTGAGAGAGCGAAAATAAATGTTATAAATATTTTTAATTTCTTTACAATTATAGTATTTTCCTTTTTCAAAAATATATTGAAAAGTCAAAAAAAAATGTTTTTCTCTTAAGGAGATTTTAGTGTTTGTTATGGTATTATCAAATTTTATACGACGTTATAATGTGACTTGAAGGACCAAGTCAATGTCGGAGGGCCGATTATTATATTATTAATTTAGTAAATGTTATTTAAATATTCGCGACTTAGAGTGAATGTGAGTGGAGTGGGGATATGCCTCGAGAGTGTGTCTGATATTGGGACGAGAGAGTCAGTCGGTTTTTATACTTTTAATACTTGCAAGCCTTTTAAAAAATAATCATTAAAGTAGGAAATAATGGGGGTTGGCGCGCGCAGGGTCAAGGCCCCCCTAGTATATACATATATTAATTAATTAAATTAATCTTTCAAATGTAAATTTTTAATATTAAATTAGTTTTATTCATTTTCTTCCCTTAAAATTCATAAATTGAGTTTTTAAAATATAAGATTTGGTTTTATCCATACAAATATAAAAATATTATTTTTTTGCTATGACTTCTTTTTTGAATTATTTTACAAATTTTTTATTGGAAAATTCCACGAGTTTTTTTTATGATTTCCAGACCATGAGTAACAACAATTGCCATGATATATCAAATGCCGATAAGAAGTATAAAATAAAACTTCATAAAAAAATCAATCCTAAGCAAATTCGTTTAAATAAAAATTTAATCTAATAAAAATTTAGTTACATATGCAAATTAAGTTAAATGAAAATTGATTTTAAAGAAAATTTAATTAACTACAAATCTTCATTGGAAATTTATTTAAAAATAAAATGAACTCACGTAGAATCCGACGATTTGAAAAATTTTATATCGCTTCACTTTTTCTATTTCTAAATTTTTAAATTCTTAATGTACATTAAAAACTGTGTCTATTATTTTGGTAAACTCAAAGTATATATATTTAAGAATAAGTTCATTAAAAAAAATTTTTTTAAAAAAATTTGAGATTTTAATAATTTAGAATCACTAAAAAATTATTGCACAGCTGTAAAGTCCTAAGAAAACTACTGCGCAGCCTTTAGAGTTTTTAATATTATAAAACGAAGACATAAATGAACCTGTACAAGAATATGTACAAGAACATGTACATTTTCTTGAATGGAAATATTAAATATATTTTTTTGTACAAAATCTTGTACAAGTTCCCGTACAACAACTTGTTTCAAATTCTGGTGCCGCTGCGATAAAATATAAAAGGCTGCGACAAACAGAGCACAATGTGCAACAAGATAAAACGGCAATATCTGGAGAATAATTGGTACACTGTAATAAAAAAAACCAGTTCTCCAACTCACCAGTCTTCCGGAATTCTTTTTCAGGAAGAGGGCGATAATAAACTTTCTTTTTGTTTGTTTTCAAATCAAATTTTGTCAAACTGTTTAGCGATACCACTACTTATGTGCATTCCGTCTGGAACACTTTTTTTTGCATATTTTGATCATATTAATTGCCATAATAAAAAAAATCAGGTGAAGCACGACTCCCCACTCTCCCCTACTTTTTAAATTTATATCAAATGGCCTTTCTTAAGGCCACAAAATTATTACAATTCGAAAATTATAACAATCAACTTTCTTCAAGGCTACCTTATCATTAACCTTCTAAAATTATAACATTCAGCCTTCTTAAAGGCCACAAAATAATTATATTGGATACGCCATTTTAAATTTTGAAAATCTGACTTCAGATTCGTAATCATCGACCTCAAAAACATTAAAATACATCGTGACTCATCATTTTTAAACAGTTTTCTAAAAGGAAGTAATAAATAAATTTTTTCTAATTTGAAATTTAATGTCTTTTAGGTGATCAATATCATGAAAATTTGACCCCTTATCATTTTTTTACCTGTATGAAGTTCTACTCGTTTCCACATTAAGTTTTTATTGAAGTGTTAAATAGCAGAAATAAGCATAAATATGAAAGATTGTACAATGCCTAAAACATGCTACCTTTTTGCACAGGGGTAACTACCCTCTAATTATATAAAGGAAATTTTAATGCGACATAAATTATTTTCTCTCTTGCAAAAATGAACAGAATAAAAAACTAGTAAAGTGCAACTTTCACCAATATCTAAGCAATTTTACCTCTTCGCGGGGTTGAACTATATCGTGTAATATCTGTGTGGTAAAAAAATATATTGCGCTGTCGTTAATACTGTGAAATTGAACTGAGCATTGAGTTCAGTTTCGCAAGTGATTAGAAATTATTGATTTAATTTAATTTTATCATTTTTGTCTAATAATTAAAAATTCAGTCGAAGTAATTTTCTGTTGCCCAAATTTTAAAAACAAGGACCTACATAATTTTTGGTTATAATACAAAACAGCTCGCAGTAAACTTCTAAACAGTAGGACATTTGAACCTAAGTTTTCACCAAAACTTTGCATGGCTGAATTTTTAGTTTATTTTCTTTAAAAGTAATACATAATGCAATTCTTGATTCTTTGTTGGCATTCAGGTGAGGATTCAAGAATAAAATTTAGTCTAACACCACAGCCCGGAGAAAGCGGTTTTACACAATGGTTGGATGCTATGAAAATGGTGGCCGGATTACCGGGTGGAATCCCATCAGAGTTTCGAAGGAGGGTGAGTGTTATTTAACCATCATGTTGTCAGTTTAATATAAAATCCGTTGTGATATCTATGTGAGGATTCAAATTATAAAATAATTATTATATTCCTGATAATTCTAGATGCTGTTTTTTAAAGAGTAATATATTAAAGGATAGAGTAGAGTAAAATAAACAATTTTGTATGCTGGGTTGGTGGAAATTTTCGATTGCGATTATATTACTATACGATTTTACATAGATTCCTACATACATGACGAAATCCATGTAGGTTCTTATGTAGGTTCCTACATAAGATCCTATACATATGTTCTCATATGGATTCCTTTGTAGGATCTCAAGTAAGAATTTACCATACATCCAAATATATACCATACATATATATACATACATATATAGGATGTCATGTTAGGATTTCACTGTTTTAGTTATCCACATAAGATACCAAATAGGAAATTATATTTGAAATTATATAGGAAATACTATGGAAAATTTCAATATAAGATATAAATCATCATAATTCCGCACTCTTACGCCGCTAGATTGTGATAATTTTTTTTCTCACAGTTGATTTTGAATCCTCAACACGATCATGTAAAAGCTTATATTTACGGCGTGGGCGGTTATAATATTGGGGAATCTTAAAAACTTGCTTACTTTGAATTTGTTTCTAGGGAGGAGGGTTGTCCGAATATTTGTTTAAAATCTTTGTCTTGTTTAATTTAACCTCTTACAATCCACCCAAACGGTCTTACCTTCATTTCAAGAAAAGTCTAGATGGCATGTTATTACCTGATCCAGATCCTTTTGGTAATTTGCCAATCGATTTTATCTTAGGTGCTGATAAGTATGGAGATTGTTTATTAAACGGTATCAAGCAAAAAATAATGGGTTTATTAACTGCTCAATCCACAATTTTTGGATGGATTCTGTCGGGTCCCGTTTCAGAACAATGTTGCGTTAATGCTCAGCTTTGGCATCACAACGTTACCACTCAAGTTTTACAGGATGATACGTCTTTCTTTTAAAACAGATCCTCCTATAAGGATCGGTGATTCCTTAGTCAAGACTATTCTTAATAAAGTATGGCAGCGTTTATGTAAATTGGAATTAAAGAAACTATATATATTGATTTCATGACAGAGTATGCTCAATTGGGTCATATAAGGCGCCTTTCTGAGAATGAATTTGAATTAATGTCCCAAGTAGTTTATTTGACTCATCACCCAATTATAAGAGAAAGTAGCTCGACTACCAAATTGAGAGTGGTTTTTAATGCTTCTATCACGGTGCGCCAGAAGGTGGTTTAAATAAAAATGAATTGGCACTTAAAAACTCTTTTTGATTATAATTTTTAGATGAATAACAAACATTTCTCAATAATTTTTAAAATCAGTTTACGTGCCCGATTTAAATAAAATTGAGTTTTTATATAAAAACAGTGTTTTGTGCGGAATCAGAATTTATTTAATCTAATAAATACTGTAATAAATGATAAAATAATTACTTACTTTCAATTTTACATATAAATAATTATATTGCTGTAGTGTTTGTGTCCAATTTTAAAAAATTAAATTATAATTTTAAAAGAACGATTTTAAGAGGGACAAAATATATTTAAGAGAGTCGAATGGTCTCTGAAATTTTTTGGCAAGAAGAGACCTTTAATTACACAGGCACACAAAAAATAAAAAGCTGTTTGGCCGAGACACTACACTAGTCTATTTCCATGTATTTTTTCACGCTGAATCCGAATCCGAAGTCAGAATTATCAGATTGGCTTTTATTTTTGAGATAAACTCAAAAAACTGCTCAGAAAGAAAAATAAAATCAAAAAGTTTAAAAATTTTTGAATGTCACTGCGATAGTGTAATTCCATGTATTTTTTGTCGCTGAATTCGAATCCAAAATCAGAATTGTTAGATTCGCTCAAATTTTTGAGATAATTGCAAAAAAACGCAAGTAAGAAAAAACTCAAAATACTCAAAATCAGTTTTTTGGAATTATCTTCAAAATTTGAGCCAATCTGTCAATTCTGACTTAGAATTCGGATTCAGCGTGAAAAAATACATGAAAATGCACTATCGTAGTGTTTCGACAAAAAAAATTATCTGTGCCCCTAATTCAGAATTTTTATCAGTTTTTGGCAATTTTAGCTCAAAGAAATTTTTTTTTGTCGAAACACTACGATAGTGCATTTTCATGTATTTTTTCACGCTGAATCCGAATTCGAAGTCAGAATTGACAGATTGGCTCAAATTTTGAAGATAATTCCAAAAAACTGATTTTGAGTATTTTGAGTTTTTTGTTACTTGCGTTTTTTTGCAATTATCTCAAAAATTTGATCGAATCTAACAATTCTGACTTTGGATTCGGATTCAGCGTGAAAAAATACAGGGAAATAGACTAGTGTAGTGTCTCGGCCAAACAGCTTTTTATTTTTTGTGTGCCTGTGTTATCGCTCTATAAAAACGGCACTAAACGTGAAAATGATAAACATTGATTTGAAAATACTTTCTTCTCGAAAGACGGACACTTTTTACAAAAGCAGCTAGAGATCCTTATCTTATATAAATTTCCTAAATCCTAAAGATCATACGAATCCATACAAAAACACGATTGCAAAACGAAAAGTAATATAATGACAGGTACATTACCTCCTGCCGCCGTCGGATGGCAGCAGCATGCAGGGCGCACAAAGTCGCAGCTGTTATTAGATTACTTTTCTACTTTTTGTTTTGCAACCATGTTTTTCTATGGATTCGTACAGTCTTTTGGATTTAGGAAATTTATAAGATGAGGATTTTGGCTGATTTTGTTAAAAGTGTTCGTGTTTCGAGAAAAAAGTATTTTAAAATCAATACTATTTCACGTTCAGAGCGATAATTAAAGCTCTCTTCTTGTTAAAGAATTTCAGATACTGTTCGACACTCTTAATGCATAAATATAAAAACGAAACAAGAAAATAACTTCATTGTTAATAAATTTATATGAACCCAAATCTAAAACATCTATTATCTATACGCATATAAGTAATTTACATACAGGGTGTTCCAAAAGTATGGAAACTTGCAAATATCTCGAAAAGTACGAATTTTTGTAAAAAATGTTAAAGATAAAAGTTATTCCAAACAAAAAGATGTACATCTTTGAAACAAAAAAATTGGGCCCGGAGCCCAATGTTGGGCCCTACAATGAAAAAAGTGGTTTTCTTAAATGAGACCACTAATTTTCAGTATCAAATTCGTAATCCCAATGAAATTCTGCGTTCAGACATGTGGTGTAAGTGCCTAAAATATTGGGCCCAATCCAAGATATTAGGTCCAAAATTTATCAACAGATAAATAAATTTTAAAAAATTGTATTTTGGAGGGATTTTGAGATCACAGGATTAGAAATTGAGCATGGAACCCAATGTAAGATTATGCAGCCCAATGTGAGGGCCCAATATTTTTGGAATTTGTACAAGTCTAAGCCCAGAATTTCATAACGATTACGAAATGGAAGAAAACTAATTTTTTTACTGTAAGCCTCAGTTTGGGCTGCGGAATTTTACATTGGGCTCTGTGCCCAATTTGAAAAGTGGCTTTGAATTTTTAATCCTGTGACCCTAAAAACTCCAAAAGATGCGATTTTATAAATTTAAAATTTATTTATCTGTTGATAAATTTTGGACCCAATATCTTGGATTGGGCCCAATATTTTGGGCACTTATACCACATGTCTGAACGCAGAATTTCATGGGGAATACGAATTTGATACTGAAAATTAGTGGTCTCATTTAAGAAAACCACTTTTTTCATTGTAGGGCCCAACATTGGGCTCCGGGCCCAATTTTTTTGTTTCAAAGATGTACATCTTTTTGTTTGGAATAACTTTTGTCTTTAACATTTTTTACAAAAATTCGTACTTTTCGAGATATTTGCAAGTTTCCATACTTTTGGAACACCCTGTATATTATATACAGTGGACTCCGCTTATAACGAACTTCAAGGAACCTTTGAAATTTGTTCGTTATAGCCGAAGTTCGTTATAAACGAAGTTGAATTTAAGATTAGAAAATACGTGGTAATACATATAAGTATATAATTAAAATTTTCATAATATTGTTTTATGTATTTAATCATTAGTTGGTTAAGATACTAAGATACATATTATCAATTAATTTATCAAAATAGTTATTATTATAACAATTTAGTTATTCAGGAACTTGTTTGCCTATTGAGATAATGAAGAATCGAAGATTGTCTTTTATTTTTATTATAGTTTTTCAAATGATAATCGTTGACAATATTTTTTACTTTTACATAATGTTCAAAAAAATGATCCTCTATGTCATTTGTTTCGAAAAATGTAGACAATGTTTGCAAAGCGGACAGCGCTTGAATACTTGAAACATGTTGAACACAAGATTCTCCTTCGTTTTCGTCTTCTTCATCAGAAACGTCGTCCGATGTGGTCTTCTTGACAAATAATAATATTTCCTGATCAGAAGGGAGCTCACTCACAATCAATTCATTATCAACAGATTCGTAGTCATCTATATTGTCAGTGTCGATATTTATGTTATTGTTATGAATCCAATCAAGCAATGAACAATCGTCATTAGAGTTTTCATTATTAAACTTTTTGCACACTGAAGCATTCGAGTTCCCTTTTTCTAATTCTTTTAAAATATCAATTTTATCACTTACAGATAAAATAGTTCTTTTTCTTGAAATCTCCATTTGGCAATAGACAATGTTAGTACGAGGGAAAATTGAAACAGACTGCCCAATAAAGTAAATAAATTTGATATGTTCGTTATAACCGACTTTATTTGGCAACAATGTTTACAATTTTTGCTCGTTATAACCGAATTGCTCGCTATATCCATCTCGCTATAAACGATGCTTCTTACGTTTAATTAACATTGAAACCAACCAAGTATCAAAAATTTGTTCGTTATAACCGACCTCTCGTTATATCCGGACTCGTTATAATCGAATTCTACTGTATATACAAAAAAATTATATTTTCTGTAAATATATTTCTTCATTCATCTCCATTCGTGAACTAATGATTAAAATAAAGCAATTCCACTATTATCCCAAGTAAAAATATCAAGACACCTTGAATAATACATATTCTTTATAAAGTTAGGTTTGGGGCCGTCCATTATTTACGTGAGCACAAGTTAGGGGGAGGGGTTTATCAAAATCTCACTAAATCTCATCTAAGGGGAGGGGGTGTCAATCAAAATCTCACGTCAACTTTCTAATTTGTTTTTTTTTACGAAAGTCAAATGCACAACCTGTACTATGTTCAGATCTTAATGAATCGTAGCAGAAGGGATGAGTATGCTCACATGGGACTGCACCCTAAAAGCTTAGTAAAAATTATAATTTTTATATTGCACAAGGGCTGCAAGTCAGTTTTCAATGAGAGACTGCAGTAAAGACTGAAAATAAGTATTTTTTGTGTAATATGAGCCAAAGAAAAAAAAGCGTAGGGTATTACTATTTTTCTATTGTTTTGATGTAAAATGTTCTTTAATATTATATATAGAAATAATCTATTAAAGTAAATATTTTATTATAAAGAAGTACATAATTGTAATTAATATATCTTCTTTATATTAGTTTAATGTACAGTTAGTAGTATATTAAAAAACAAACGACTTAGAAATAAAAATGTTATTAGAATAAAAAACACTTGATTTAAATTAATAAATAAATAATTAGCTAATTAATGAAAAAAAAAACATTTTTTTCGCAGAAAAATATATCATTCATCATTATTTTCTCTTGGATGTTAATTTTTTTAATATCATAAAGTAAAAAGCATGAAAAATAAAAAATATATCAAGATTTTATTGTTATAAGGTAAATCTCACGTTAGAAGGGGGTTAGCAAAAATCTCACGCCAGGGAGTTTTTAAAGAAAATTTTCTTAATTAATGGACGCCCCCTAATGTTTTTCAAAGAAAACGGAAAATTCAATTTTTTAGGTTAAAAAATTGATTTTTTCAAAAACGTCTCGATAAAAGATTTAAAATTTTTTTGTACAATATTCAGAAAAGTGTCCAGATTCAAGGTATAAAAGAAATTTTACAGTGAAAGAACTTTTGTGTTGAACTGTGTTAAGGACCACCGTGATTACAGTAATATTAAAATGTCTGCCTCGCATGATAATATTACTGTAATATAACACGTTCATTTTAAATACATAAAAATTCAAAGTTTTTTTTATGATAAAACAGAAAAGGATAATAATTAATCAGTCAAATACTTTTAAGTGGTTTTTGAAATTTTTTTATAATATTACAGTAACATTACCGGGTAATATTAGGTACTGTAATATTACGTGCTACTTGCACGTATATTACGTATATTACTTACTAATTTGCACTTCAATTTACATTAAAAATTATACTTATCTATAAGAAAATTGTATTTATTTCTTTTTGTGAAAAGGGTTTCTTTCGTTAAAAAAACATGTCACTTTACATTGTCTAATTGAAAGGATTGTTAATGGAACCATTGTTGCTCATTAATTTCAGTTGTGGATTACACTGGCAGAGAGACATTTAGAACAGCGGGAAGTGGATTGGAAACAAGCAGAAAAAGTATGTTTCAACGAGTGGAGCAACCCAGATGATGAAGAACTTGGCACTCAAATTGTCAAGGTAATTGAGAAAAATCAATTAATTTGTGAAATGCATGATTATTCCATAAGAATCATTAGTTAGAATTTTTTGAATTATCATTTGACAGAATTTCTTTTTGAACAAATTACTTTACAGAATTTTTAGATGCCGAATTTTTATTTGGCAGAATTCTTATTTTTCAAAATTTCCCTTTCTCAGGTGAAAAAGTTCCCGGTAGTAACTACCTGGAACTTTTTCACCTGGGTAATCAAACATTTTATTAAGCAGAATTCTAATTTTAATTACTATTTGCAATCTCTGAGAAATAAAAATTTGGCTTTTTAAGAAATCTATCTATTTCTAATATTTAAAATACGCTCATATTTAATTTATCGTCATTAATTTTTTTTTCATTGTTTTAACTCAAAAAAAGTTTTAGCTGGTATAGGGTCAGTTGGGGTAAATGGGGACAAAATCGCTATTTTTCACAAATTACGTAAGTTTCTTCCTTTAAAAGGTAATATTTGCGGATTTATATTTTTTTAAGTTGTTATTTACGTTCCCAGGATTAATTTTATGCAGCAGAAAAAAAATTTAGATAAGCTTTAAACGCATGAAACTGACTGTCCCCATTTACCCCAAAATTTAGAAAATTTCATAAAATTCGGAGTAAATGGGGACAGCATAGTTTCTAAGAAAGTTTTAAGAAAAAAGTTTCCATAAGTATATTACTGTATTAAGGGATGAAAAAACTTGAAAAAATTTGTAGTAGATATATAATAGTTAAACCAGTTGAAATTTTTTTATTTCAGTTTATATATATAATTATTTATTTTTTTAAGTAAACGGGTTTTAAAAGAACCCTTGAAGTATAAAAATATAAAAGATATAATGAAAAGTATTTTTTATTATTATCTATACAATTGTTTTGAACTTTTTATTCCGTCTAAGATTATATGTCATTCTTCGTATACAACAAATGATAATTATTTGATTTTTTCTAATTTGCGTTCACAATGTAAATCTTTATCTAAAGCTTGTTATAATAATTATATACAGCGTTCTGAACTCTCAATTATTCAAAATCTAAAAATTTTTTGGAAATTTGTAAATGCTTTGCGAAATGAAAATCGAATTCCCAATTATATGTTTTTTGATGTTTCTGCTAATAACAATTTTGATATCTCCTGCCTTTTTGCCAACTATTTTGAATCTGCATATGAGCCGCGTTCTACGTATGACAATCATAATCTTTATGACCTTGTTGACATTGGTTGTGTGTGCATTACGAGAGAGTGTATTCTTAAGAAAATTAGGGATCTTGACACTAACAAGGGCGCTGGACCCGATGGTCTTAATCCTAAACTGATAAAGTCCTGCTGTTCATCTTTGATCGAACCTTTATTTATTTTATATTCAAGATCAATAACTGAGGTGGTGTTTCCTTATGAATGGAAAAAAGGAATAATTGTGCCAATTCATAAAGATGGGGAGAAGTCAAATGTTAGAAACTATACACTGGAAAAGTCTTAAGCGATCAGCAGTTCCAACAGTGGAAATGCAGTAGCTCTTTGCTTTGGAGTATCTGGAGCATGATTTTGAGCAACCTCTATGCTAAATGTTGGGCGAGCAGATGTTCCACGTTATTGTTACCAAGATTTGGTGATGCTGCAGCATCAGACTTGGGCACTCAGAGCACCCAAGATGGGAAACAGTTAGCCCCACAATGAAGTTGTGCAGAATCTCTTTATTTGGTGCTTCTCATACATGCGTTGGGAATTCTAAACGCCCAAGACTTTTTCAGTGTAGACCTATAACTATTCTTAATGTTTTTTCCAAAATGTTAGAAAGTATTGTTTTTGACGAATTGTATCGCGCTCTTTCTAGTGTTTTGATTGATGAGCAGCACGGTTTTGTCAGGGGTAGATCAGTGGAAACTAATTTAAGTATATTTTTTAATTATCTAACTTTAAATATTGAATCGGGTTTTCAAGTTGATGTAATATATCTTGTAATATATATATCTTGAAAGTCTTCGATAAGGTAGATCACTCTTTACTTATTCGCAAGCTTCGTCAACTTGGCGTAAACTCAAATTTACTTGATTGGCTTCAGAATTATTTATGTGATAGATCGATGGTTGTGCGTGTTGGAGATGCCTATATGTTTCTAAATGTGCTGTTATAACTTTTTCTAAGAAGGATAATAAATTTCTATACAATTATAACATTGACGGCATTAATCTTTCAAGAGTGGAAAGTGTGCGGGACCTTGGGGTAACACTGGCTGGTAATCTCTCTTTTAATGAGCACATTGCTAATGTTGTTAATAAGGCTATTGGGGCTCTCCATTTTATTAAACGGAATTCGCATGATTTTAAAAATCCAAGTACAGTCGAATCTCCCATAAGTTAATTTTCCCCTATCACGTACCCCCTCTACCTAAAAAAAACTTTAGTCATTACACATGCGCATAGTGGTGCGAAGATGGCTGACACATAAATAAACATAACCTCGTCTGCAAACGTGTTCTATGATCATCTGTGACTTAGTTTAATTCAGTTGAATGTTAAAAACTTGTTAAAAATTAAAGTTTTATGTACTTTTAAGACTCCACGAGACTGACTACTTTTAATGTACACAAATATGTTGAATTTGACAAACTGTCAAAAAAGATATTTAATTTAAAAATAATACTAATTCAAAAAATCTCAATATTCTATTTTATATTTAAATAGGAAGTAAAAATATATATTTTCGTTATTTGAATCTAAAAATACAGTTTATTTGAATTATAATTATAATAAAAATTGATTTCAATTTATGTTATTTTTAGTTCTCAAGTTAACATGTATGTCTACGATGTTTAACAATGTTCTTCTAAAACGTGTAATTAACATCTTGTACCACTACCTAGAATAAAAACATTCGATTCATGTTTAAAAGAATTTTCTTTTAGTTTAATTTAATTATTAAATAATTGTTTCACTGATGTAGCTGCATCATTTACGAATATTAATTCCTTAATAATATTTCCAATTAACTCAAATAATATTTTATCATAAATAAAATTCCGTCCATGATTTATAAAATTAATAAAAGTAGTTAAAAGAATAATACAGGTATGTACCGACAATGTTTTTCACAATCAACTAAACTTATATTAAATTAAATATTCAAACATTTCTAATAACTCATGTACTTTACAAGACTTTAAACATATATTTTGAAATTGACCGCCATGCGCAATAGGTTACTGCGCAACTATTTCTCCTTACGCGGCAATTCTCTCATAAGTTAACCCCCCACCAGAATTAACTTATGGGAGATTCGACTATAGTTTAAAGTGCCTCTACTATGCGTTTGTTATGTCACCCATCATGTTTGCTTCACAAATTTGGTCGCCTTATTATAGCGTTTACGTTTTAAGACTTGAGCGTGTACAAAATCGTTTTTTGCGTTTTGCAGCTAGGCAATTAAATTAAATTTACATTTCGATTATCATCTGCATGATTATGATCTACTACGTGCACAGCTGAGATTGCCAAAAATTGAGACAAGTTTTTTGTTTAACGACCTTTTATTTTTATTTAAAATTATTAATAACATTATTCGATGTCCTGCTGTATTAGAGTGTATCAATTTTTCGGCTCCCTCAAGATCTTTAACATATCATTCACTATTTGTCGTTGACTTCCATCGTACAAATTATGGTATACATTCTATTTTTGATAGAATTATGAGAGAAGCCAATTCATATAGTGAATGTATAGATTTTTTTGGAATCTCTTTGATTTCCTTCAAAACAAATTTAAAAATTTTACTGTTCACCGCACAAAAGAATGACAATTTGTTGTAAGAGAGTGCTTTGGTGCGTTAATTTTTTCATTATATCTTCAATTATTTGTCTTGCATTTGAAAAAAAAAATTTCACTTCTGACAATTGTCAAGATAAAAGTTTGGCAATACTCAAAACCTCTTGCAGGTGATCTAAGGTTAAAATATTGACGTTGAACTTAATTTTAAAACTGTAAATTAAGCTCCAAAACATCTTGTCCCCATTTACCCCAACTGACACTATTTCTTGACAATAATCAATTATTGCAATGGAAAAAGTATTTTATTGTCTTGCTTTCAAGTAAATACTGTAAATAATTTTCTAAAATTTTAGTTTCGATATAGGTGGTGCTGCCTTTCTAGGACCTACCCTTAAAACTCCTTCTCTCTGCAGAGAGAGAGAGAGAGAGAGAGAGAGATTTCTATTCGTGGCTTCAGAAAAGACATTTTTCTTTCTGTAAAGGGGAGGAGTTTAAATCTTAATCTTTATGGCAAAAAACTACACTTTTTACTTAGGGGGAGGGGATAAATAGTGTCAAAATAAAAAATTCAATTTTTTCTCCATTTTTGTTTTTAACGACACGAATATAAACCTTTCTTTCTGTAGAGGAAAGGAGTTTAAATCTTAATTTTTATTAGCAAATTATCTCCATTTTTCATTAAGAGGATGCTACTAAATCCTGCTTAATTAAAATTTTTTCTCTACATTTTAAATTTTATCCACAAGTAAAAAAATTAAATTTTTCTCCATTTTCAATTTTTTAAGCAACGAATAGTAAATAAAAATGAAAGAAAATTTAATTTTTGTAATTTTACAATATTTAGTTCCGGAGTTTCGCTCGAACTGTCATTGAGAGCGGTCGTCTTTTCTCGTGCTCCGATATTTTCGGTTACTTTTATAATCTTATTTTAAAGTTTATAATTTGTTTTTTATTTTTATGCACGGGATTCACGCATTCATTTGTGTTACGATTTGTTTGTGTTGACTTTTATTTCATTTTTATTGACTTTTGTCATTTTTTGATTTGTGTTCCCTTGGACTGGTGTAATCGTTCGTTTTTGTGCTTTTAACTTTGCATAATTTTTGTTCTTAATTGTGTCCCAACGCAGTCTGGCTTCGCCTGTATGCAGTGATCTTTTTTGTGTGCAAAATAGACCTTTTTGCAGTCTTTTTTCTCGCCTGGGCCTTTACTTTTTTCGGTA